CATAAAGTTTGAAACTTTATGAATCTCTGAGACTTTGACATAATTGTTGGTTTGGATCTAGATTCTTGTGGGGTTTTGATCCATGAATGATATTTCCATGGAAAAACCCTCATTTTGGCTCATTATGGCTTCAAGACATGCATTGGATATGCATGTCTATAAAGCACCAAATTTTATGTTGGATTTGGTATTTGAATCTTTTCTGGAGTAAATGACCTATGTACTATTTGGATTGAGTGCTTAATGGAGAAACTCATGTATTATTTAGCTCATTCGAATCTAGGGTTTGGGATTTTGACCTTTTAGGTGGTATTAACAGGTAAAGTTGGAAACTTTATCCCTCTAGACTTTGTTTCGGACCAAATCTGGAATTTGGAACCCTTTGGATCGAAGAATGCAGCTTAATCCGTTAAGCTGTTGAAACCCCAGTGCCCACGATGTGGCTTAGGTCGCCACAACATGGTAACTGGGGAAAACACGACTGTTCGTCATTTAAGGGCCACGACGTGGCCAAGGATGGCCATGACGTGGAGATTCAACTTTGACCAATGACTTTTGACATGTTTTGACTTTTGGTCAAACCCTTATTTGAAAGAAGAGCTAAGGATTTATATGGTATGATTGAATAGATGGTGCCTAGCAGCAATATTCTATCAGTGAGAGCTGTAACAGTTGAGCATTTTCTGAAAGGTAATTCTTCTCATTGTACTTATGGGTTGAAGACACTAATGTCGGCCCACTAAGTTGTGTATGTAGGATGCTAGATGTCTTTGTGACTCTTACATATTTGTATGATTGGGTTGAAATAAACCCCAAGGATGGACCCATTATTGTATTATTGGGTTGAAATAAACCCCAGGCTTGGGCCCACGAGTATGTGATGGGTTGAAAGAGACCCCTTGGGCCCCAGGGATAGTCCTATGATTGTATTTTGGGTTGGAATATACCCCATGGCTAGGCCCACTTGTATGTTTGGTATGTCGTACTTTGGGGAACTCACTAATATTTGTGCTTACAGTTTATTTTTTTGGTTTCAGGTACTTTCGGCTCAAAAGGGAAGAGCCTGAATTGATGACACAACATCCCGCTCATGATTACGTACTTTTGGCTATTTGTACTATGATATTTTGACATTGTGTATGGTGATTGACTTTGAAACATTTCATGTATGAAACTAATGGTTTTTAAACAAAAAAAGTTATCACTATTTTTGGGTCGTTACACTTAGATTGTATTGAAAAAGTGCATTAAGTTTTGTACAAGCTTCCCAACAATGTTCATTTCTTCTATAACATCCAAAAAAATCAAGGTAATTTTTTTTTCATTTTTGAAACCAATCCAAAACCATAATCATTTAAAAATCATAGTTTCTAAAAGTCATAAACATGAATCAGAGTATTTTAAAATCGTAATCTCATAAAAAGCCAAGATGATGTGCACGGTCAAGCCTTCGCCTTGCCCCGATCATGTAAAGCACCTGAAACATAAAAATGAAATGGTAAGCCAAAGCTTAGTGAGTTCTCCCTCCCCCCCCCCCAAAGTACCACCATATGACATATAACATATACAATCATGCATGTTGGGTCCAATCAGTCATCGAACTAGAATACCCTCGGGTCCACAACCATCGGGCTGGATTACCCTCAGCCCAATCAATCATCAGACTGGAATGCCAATATGCAACGGGTCCAATAAGTCATCAGACCGAAATACCCTCGAGTCCACAACCATCGGGTTGGGTTACCCCCGACCCAATCAGTCATCGGACTAGAATGCCAATATGCAATGGGTCCAATCATTCATTAGACTGGAACACTCGGGCCCACTCAGTCATCAGATTAGAATGCCCCAGTTTGTTGGCTTACGCACATAGCAATAAGGCCTTAACCCAAAATCGTACTATGTCGATATATGCAACAGATAAACATATAACCAGTCAACAAACAAACAAGAAGACCTACAGATCACTGTCGTATAACAACATCCTATATACCAGGATACAGATCTAACAGATCACTACAACATAACAACATCCTATATACCAGGATACATAACCTAGTGGGCCGATATTGGTGCCTTCGACCCACAAGTACAGTGAGGAAAAACTCACCTCACAGTCTGACAAAATAGCTGAACAACATGCTGCTCCGAATACCAACTCTACAGGTCACCTATACAACAAACAGTGACCAGATCTCAAACCATAGCTCAAAATATCCAAAGTGCCCTTAAGTCAATATTAGTCAAACCTTGGTCAAAGATCAGATTCAAAAAGTTAAAGAAGTCAAACTGAATGAGTACGCTAAGCGTACTCAGTAACTACGCCCAGCATAGCGTGTCCTTGACCAAAACAAGGGGCCTTGACAAGGTATGCGTAGTGTACTCCTTGGTACGCCCAATGTACTACTTCTGGACACCCTCCTTCTCATTAAGTGCTTATTCTTTAAGGCCTTTCCATCCAAACTTAGATCTAGGTTCAAAACATCGAATTAAGTCATAAATTTCCACCTTTATGGCATTTCATGGCTAGAAAAGGTCCAAAAGCTAAAACCCTAACTTATTAATCCATTATGACATCGTAACTCTTGTATGGAAGTGATAGGAGCACAAAGATCACATTTTCATGGTTCCAAATAGCTCCATAATGGATAAAGTTTCCAACTTTATCCATTAGGATGGTCCAAAGAACCAAGATCTAGTCTTTAAGTCTCAAAGGGACCAAAAATGCATCTTTATCAACTTAATCCATCAAGTCCAAGTCTCCAACCTTTCAGATCTGAATCAATATGATGTTTAGATGGATAAAGTTTCCAACTTTATCCATAACAAGGTAAAGAAGTTTCAAGATCTAAACTTTATGCACTAAAGTGACCAAAAAGCTCATAACACCCAAAACTAGCTAGATCTAACAAATACATCATCAAGATTCAAGTTTTATACCTTATGGAGTTTAGAAAAGAAATGTAGGCTTTGGATCCACAAGGTTGAGCTTCAACAATCAACAAGCTTGAACTTCTCTTTCATCCAAAATGTACCTAAAACACATAAAAATGCTCAAGATTTGATCTAGGGGCTAGGGTTTCGAGTTGGAGGATCAAGATGGTGGATGTTGATGTTAGGAAGGGCCCCAAGGGGTTAGAGTCCTTAAATAGGGCTCAAAACCACGAAAATAGGGTTTTACTATGCGACGGTACACCCAGTGTACCTAAAGTTACGCCCAACATAACACCCTATAAATGTAACTTCCTCAGCCTAGTACGCCCAATGTACTCTTGGTGTACACCCATCGTACTGCTAGGCTCTCTTCTTGCATCTTAACTTCAAACAACCATAACTTCTTCATTCCAACTCCCTTTTCGACGATCTTTATATCCATGGAAAAGTATCGACGAGCTCTACAATTCTATCTTGAAAATTATTACTAAAACATCTTGAACTAAAATCCTTAATTTATGCAAGAAGACCGAAACAAAACCCTTCCCATTTTACCCCTCAGGTTTCAACGAACAATCCAAGGTTTAAATCACTTATCCAACATCATCACTTCCAATAGAGTCTAAGATCCATTCCCTCGAAGCCCAATGCCTCCATTTAATCCATTAATTATCCATAATCCTGAAATAAGAACTTCTCGAAACAGGATGTTACATCTTCTCATACGCTCGAAAGTGTGAATACATGTGAAATATGTTCTATAATAAGAAAACCTATTGTTTGTTACCAATCATTAACTTTATAGAATGATTAGGTGCCCTAACGGTTAATTAACTACACAAGAATTCAATTCATATAAGTAGCCAATCAAACACAAATCAAATCCAAGGATTCTAATTTAAACAAGAACATAATCACTAGAATAGAATCATAAACCAAAAATCAAGCGATATGCTTCAAGTCAAGTAATCAACATGTTTTTGAATAAGAACTAGAAATTAGGGTTTCTTAGCCATACATTGCTAAGAACAAATCAACCAACAAAAAGATGGAAATGGAAGTCTTTAATTCTTACAGATGGAAATAAAAAATGTTTGCAATGATTTGGTCTCCTCAAAAGCCTCCAAGAATTGCCCAAAAGCGCCCTTTGTAGCTCTAGAAACCGTCCCTCATGAAAAATGGCGACATCCCTTATTTTATTAACTTCTCACGTGCTTTCCATAAGACCATGTGTTTTTAGCATGGCCATGCTTTTTTTACCATGTGTTTTTTATCATGTCCTTGTGTTTTGACCATGTGCTTTTAGCATGGCCATGCCTTTTTGCTAAAACTCCAATAAGTCTTCAAACTTGGCTTTGTCTTCGGTCTAGCTTCACCACGAGTCATATTGCTCAAATATATGATAAAAAGGACAAATATGACATGTGTCGGTGTGACACGACCCGTGTTTCAAACGTAATCATTTGCTATGATGATATGAAACGACTCGGGTTATGTCTTCATGTTTTCTTCCATGACATGACTGGTCCATATTCTCTTCATGTTCCAATGCTCCAAGCTCCAAGCTCCAAGCTCGCCTCCATAGTTCCAATGCTCCAAGCTCCATAATGCCTACAAAATTAATCAATGATAGTGAAATACTATACATTATGAATAAAACATTCAAGTGCCCAAATAATTAACTAAATGCAAGAATTATGAAGTAAAATGCAATTAAAAGATAGGAATAGACGTGAAAAAATAGGTGCATAAAATGCACCTATCACTTATGAAGCAAGTACACAGGCTAAAGTTGTTGTTCAAGCAAGTGAAAATGTTGATGTTCAAGAAAGTTTAAGTATTCAAGCAAATGTGGATGTTGAAACTACCGGGTTTAATGCAAGTTTTGAAGATGATGTTTAAGCAAGTGAACATGCTGATGTTGAAGCAACTACAGATGCTGCTATTCAGGAAACTGTACAAGAGGATTATCATTATCAGGAAATCCAAGATGAAATGTTTCAAGAGGAACCCCCCAAAAAAATCCAGTCCAACCTCAAATCATTACTTATAATGATGATGTATTAATGTTGCATGAATATGGTTATGAACCTCATGAGGTTGCACATGCTTTAGAAAGGGTAAATATGATGCTTGGCCCTATGTCTTATAAATGCGTCATTTGTGTTATAATTCATAAATTCATCGTACGATACATGATGTAGATGTTAATGAGATTGAAGATCACTTGGAAGCAGACTTAGAAGGGGATGTTAATGAGATTGAAGATAACTTGGAACCGATATGATAACCTTTACTTTAAATTTATTATAATTAATATGTGATTTAAAAAGGGTTAATTAACTATATCATGTGTTACAGGGTGACGATGTTAATGAAATTGAAGATCACTTGGAAGCAAACTTAGAAGGGGATGTGATACCTGAACTTGTGCCATCAGCGCAAGGGGAAGTTGCTATACAAGATTTAGATGCTAATGCTTGGGTTAGTGAAGATTATGAGGAAACTGATGGGGATGATGAATACATTGAAGAAACACAAGTTGTTGGGAGGCCTAGGAAAAGGAAGATTTCTGAGAGAATTTTGAAGATCAAGATGAAGAAAGCAGTTTATGATAAGGATGGAGGGGGTTCTAGTATCGAGAAACACGTTAATTTGGAGTAGGAGTATTTAATAGGGGGTATCATGGGCAATATGTATTTTGATTTCCCTTTTTGTTAACATTGCATCAGCTTTTCGTAACAACCATCCAATTGTATATCAACATATAGTATTCAGTTAGACCTTTTTTAATCATTGGTAGTTAATGGCCATTTGTAAGATTGTTGGGCGATTGGATGTTTGGTTCTAATTGTAATACCCCATTTTATGTTATTAAGAATTCAAGTATTTAGAGTACGTTGCCTTTACTTGTCATTTGACTTACCATAAGTTAATTGTCATTCCGGTTAATGTCCTTTACCTGCTTACACAAGTTTTAGTACATTACCATAACTACATTGTCATTGCAATGGATCACTATAATGCAATATTGAATCACATGGGTCATAAATAGCATTGGATTACCATCAAGATAATTTTAGATAAACATTACAATTTGAAACCAATAATTAACCAACTATGTAACACCCTGTTTCGATTTGTTTCATGATGCAGGACTGTGACCCGAATATCAAGTATCAGAAGGCTTTGAGATTTGGGGAAAGAGAGGTTTAGACCCATTTGGAAGTGGGTAATGTTGATTATGTGATCCAAGAGTTCAATTTGTTCTTTGGAGCCCAAAGGCATAATGGTATAAGTGATGCTTCAGGCCTTTTATTGAATTAAGGATTTTTGTTCTAGGTGTTTTAAGTAAAAAGTAATTAAATAGGGTTATAGAGCTCCTCAATACCTTTCCGTAGATATAAATATCGTCGAAAATGGAGTTGGATCGAAGAAGTTATGACTGTTTGAAGTTATGAGGGTTTTGGGCCAAGCAGAGTACGCTGGGCATACATGGAGTACGTCGGGCATACTAGGTTGAGATGATCGCGGAACTCCTTGGAGTACGTTAGGCATAGGTGGACCTGGAGTATGTTGGGCATACTCTAGTCAAATGCAAACCCTAATTTAGGGTCTTGGACCCTATTTAAAGACCTTAACTCATTTCCAACCCTCCTTATATTCAGCCTCCATCCCCTCTAACCCAAAAATCGAAACCCTAGCTTGTTCTTGAGTGTTCTTGATCTTTGGTGGTAAACTATTGGTGCTTTTGTACACCTTGAGGAAGAAGGAGGTTGGTGTTCAAGCATTGGTTGGAGTGGAGCTCCTAGATCTAGAGTCTTCATCAATTTTGATAGCATCTAAAGGTATAAAGCTTCTATCTTAATGACTAAATGTGTTAGATCTAATCTAGGGTTTTGTTTTCAGGATATTAGGGTCCCTTGAGTCATCCTTGTGAGTATGAGCTACTCCAGGAGCTTAGAATGTTAGATCTTAACATTTCTGATGTTGTTAGTGCATAAAAATGTCAACTTGATAGGTTTTGATGTACCATGCAAGAGTTGGTGTTCATATTTTGGACTTAGATGGATAAAAATGGGTATTGGGTCCCATTAAGACATGTAAAGGAGTAAAGTTTCCAACATTATGGATTAAGACCTTATTTTGAGGTTAGATACGAGTTTGTACGTGTTGGCATTAAGCATTAAGTGCTTATAGCGAGTTTTGGTCATTTGGTGAGTATGTTGGGCATACTTATGCGTACACTCAATGTAATGCATGATTTTCCATTTTTCTTGTTGTGGCGACTTGTACGATATGCATCGGTGAGAAGTACGCAGGGCATACGAGTTTGGTACATGGGGCGTACTCCTGAGAAACTCTTCTAGGGCCTTTTGGGCCTTGGGCATTTTGGGGAGTTGGGCCATGAGTTGTTGGGTCAGATATAGGAAGGGTAAAATGGTCTTTTACCCATTAGAATGATAAAAAATGAATTGGACCTCGGATTATGGAAATCGCCTTAGTTATTAATTAGGGATAATTTGGTTGTGTTCAGTGCGAGGAATCTGGTAGCAACAACGCGCGTATTTTGGTTAACTCAGTTTGAGGTGAGTCTCCTCACAGTGTTTGGCGAGTCGAAGGCACCAATGCCGACCCATGTATTATTATTATTAGTATGCTAGTTGTTTGTGTGACTCTTGCATGTGTTTGTATGTATACCGGGCGGGGCCTGATGAGTGTCTTGGGCGGGGCCCATCGCATGTTACTAACAAATCTGTACCAAGCGGGGCCTAATGGAGATTGGGCGGGGCTTGATGAATACCGGGGGAGGACCAATGCCGGGTGTAACATCCAGATCCTTGAGGTACTTAATTCCTTGAATTATAGCTTTTGGAGGGGGTCACGACGTGAGATATGATGGTCACGTCGTGAGTATTAGTTGAATAACTGACTGCATCTTTTTGGAGTCTTACAATGTGAGAAGGACCTGATGACTCAAAACCCTGATGTTTTGGGTATTTAAAGGCATGAGAGGCTAGGGTTGCACATCCTCAACCTCTCTCACCCTCCAAGCCTCCTGAAAACCCTAATTTCGGCCCTCTTTGAAATCCTTGATCATTCTTGGTGTTTTGCTTGCTTAAAGAAGAGGAAAAGAAGAGAAAGAAGTATCATTGTGGTGGAAGTTTCAAGGAAGCATCATTATCATCAGCTCTTTTCTTGTTGGACCCTTTGTAAGTACCAAGATTCAAACTTCATTTCATTTCATGGCAAAATCTAGGTTTTTTGGTCCCATTTCCTTAAGTTATAACTTGTTGGAGTGAAGAAGATCCATAAACTTAGCCACTTTATGGCTTCAAATGGTCTTTTGAGTATCATATCATCCAGATCTGGAAGTTGGTGGTGTATTAAAAGCATGCATGAGAACTTGAGGCCATATTTCTACTTTTGACCTAAAATGGTGGGGGGACATGCATGGTGCATGCATGTCCATAAAGCAATCATTTTTATGGACCATTAGGGTCCCCTTTATCTTCTGTAAGTGTTGAAATTGAATTTTGAACGGATTACGAATGTTGAAATGTTGGTTTTGGCTTCATACCGTTCTTACGACGTGAGACATGAGGTCTCACGACGTGAGCATGTGAAACCCGTCCCTTGTTGAGTTGTCTAAGTTAGGAACGAGTCTTTGGAATCAGAACGGGTGATTCTCACGACGTGACCAAGGATTGGTCACGACGTGAGACGCGATGTTGGGTTTTTGGGCCTTGTTAGGCCACTAGTTTTATGACTTTGGGCCATTGATAGGCTTTGGGCCTATATGGGGCTTTCGGTGTCCTTTAGGAATTGGGCCACTATTGCGCTTTACTGTCATTGGGTTTGGGCCTCGGTTATTGGGCCAAGTGAGGGAAGGGTAAAATGGTCTTTTACCATGGGTATTGGGACTAATGAATTAGATTCTCAGATATGGTCTATGGCCCAATTATTAATTAGGGTTTTATTTGATTGGTTAGCGTGAGGATTCTCTGGTTCAACATCCGAGCATCTGTTTGACTGACAACAGACTGAGGTGAGTTTGCTCATTATATTGTAGGACACTAGGATTTTATGTGCTTGTAGTCTTTGTGACTCTTGCTGTATGTACATATGCCTGTGTGCCTGTTTGATATATGTATGTGGGGTGAAATACACCCAGTACAACCTTGTGCTGACATATGAGTTGAAATAGACTCGGGAGTGAAGTAGACCTGGGGGTGAAATAGACCCGGTACAACCTTGATCCGACACATTAATTGAAATAGACTCGGGGGTGAAATAGACCCGGGGGCGAAATAGACCCGACACAACCTTGAGCTGGCAGATATGTATGGTATGCAGTATTTTGGGGAACTCACTAAGCTTCATGCTTACGATTTTCAGTTTATGTTTCATGTATGTAACATCCCGGGTTTCAGGTATTTCCTATTTCATCCCTTGGGTTATATTATAAGTCAATTTAATCCATAAGTCCGGGAATTTTGCCTAGAAGCCCTAGTGGCATTTTGGTAAATTGAGCTCGAGGAGTACGCTGAGCGTACATGTGTGTACGTTGAGCGTACTAGGGCGCGCCCTAGTATGCAGGGCGTACACTCACGTATGTTAGGCGTACTCACATCATAGGGAAACCCTAAATTTTAGGGTTTGAAGGGTATTTAAGCAACATGTTGGCTCATTTCCTTTCCACCTTTCAGACTCCACTCCCTTGGAACATCTTTTGCAAACCCTAATCTTTGAATAGTGTCTTGTGAGCTCAAGTGTGTGCTTTTTGGTGTGTTCTTGGTGACTTAAAGGAAAGGGAAGTGCATCAAGAAGCTTGGAAGCTTGAAGCAAGGTTGGATCTGGGAGTTTGGCTTCCTTCTCCATCATCTAAAGGTATAAAGTTCATACATTTATGGTTTATTTAATAGATCTATTGTTGGGTCCTTTTTATGCTTCTTTTGGTCCCAAATGCTCCATCTTGAGCATGACATGTTCTAGATGTTTTGATTCATCCTTTCAGACCCTTTGAGGGGTCCTTAATTATAAAAATGAGGTCCCAATGGATAGAAGTGTCCCATGCATTTGTTAGAAGGGTCTTAATGGATTAAGACCATGTATTAAGGACTTTTTAGACGTCTAAACTCATAACGTTGGAGACTTTATGACTCTAAGGTGCATTTGGACCATGGATCTGTAGTATGGGCTTAAGTGCTTAAGCGATTAAGCACTTAATGGACTTTTGGGTCTGCGAGGGTACACCCCGTGTACTCGGTTAACCACTGCGAGAGGGTCAAGGCGAGGCTCGGTGTACGCCCAACATATCGAAGGGGTACGCCCCGCGTACGCCTTCTGTGGGCTTTAGATTTTGGGCTTCAAGTGTTGGGGGCCACCTTTTGGGCTTGAATGTTTGGGCCCTTATTGGACTATCTGAGTAAGAGTGTTTTGGGCTTTATGGAGTGTTGGACCTTAGGATAAGGCCCAATAAGGATTTTGGGCCCAATTTGGAAAATTGGGCCAATTATGGGCCTTTAAGTAATCTGGGGCTTTTTGGGATCAAGAATTGGGCTTGGGTCTTGGCCCAATTAGGGAATGGGTAAAGTGGACATTTACCCTAAGTATGGAGCATTAGTCAAGGTTGGTAATCCAATTGTTAATTGGATGTTGTT